TATTCTCTGTAGATTTTACAGCTTTTTAATGGTGTCATAGTTTATTTAACAGTATTCCTTTTGAAGTGGAACGTACTTAATAGTATATAGAGAATTCATGTATAGTTTACCACCTTTCCTTTGGTTTTAGCTACCCGGAATGATCATTGAACCGTTGCTGTTTGTAATAATCTGTTATTGGATAACCGGTTTGCGTGCCACATTCTTCGCCTTCAGTATAACGGCCATATCAATTGTACTGGTTATGAATGTTGCAACAGCCTGCGGTTGCTTCTTTTCTACAGCGTTCAACTCAGTTCCTTTGGCCATGGCTTATTTGGTGCCCGTCGATTACATTTTCATGATAACATCTGGAATTTTCATTAAAATTAGGTGAGTTGCTGTCAGTGCCCAATGTACTTACTTGTCTCGCATACACACACATATATACATTTATTTGGGTTATAGTAACACGTATGCAAATAAATATTTAATGAGGCATGTGTATACATATGTTTGCCGTTAACTTGCAGCACTTTGCCAATGGCGCTTTATTGGACACAATTCCTGTCATGGATGTTATATGCAAATGAAGCTATGACGATTGCACAATGGTCCGGTGTCCAAAACATAAGTGAGTATGAATGTGTATATTAATAAAGTTTACTTTTAAATTAACACCAATAATGCTTGAGTGTATTCATATTTACTTTGAGTTATTTGCATCATATTTGCGCGATATACGAGTATATACATATGTACTTTCTTTACCTCGTAGTAGGGGTGGTATACTTGTATATTTTAATAATTTTCCGCAACAATTTTGGAGATAACTATTTATGAATATAATAATATGAAGATAGGAAAAATTGAGAACGGATAATTTACATTTGCACAAATAAAAACAATATTTGAACATATTAAGGTTTAACTGCCGAACCATCATATTTCGTAGCTCTGAACTAACTTCTTATTTGCGAGAATAATATAACTTTTGGAGTAACACAATTTTGCTTTTTTAAAATTGAAAATTAATTAAAAATTACATAGAACAAGAATTCGAGTGCATTGAGAGTAGCATACTCTTCACAAATACGTACCATACAAGAACTTGATTTTGATCGGTCAGTTCGTATGATAGCTATATGTAATACGAAAATGTTACTAAACGGGATGGCCATTTAATTTCAAAAATATAGTTGCGGTTGATAAAAAAAAACAATATGTAACAAGTAACGAAGGGTTCCGAACATTTTATGCTCTTGCAACTTGCAAGGATCATATCTTGCCATATAAAGTACATACAAGGTTTTAAAATACCTTTACCTTACTTTGTATTGCAGCTATATCTAATAGTGGTGCGATATCGGCTGTGAGGAGTTTCTTGAAAAAAATGAAACGTGTAAAACTTGGCTTAAATCTTATGAGGTCATTGTTCCTTTTGTTTACATTTTATTAGGTTAATAACCCTTTTGTTTACATTTAGCCAAGTCAACAACCTTTGTTTACATTTTCGGTCAATGACCCTTTTGTTTACAGATCATATTGTCAATTACCCCTTTGCCTACATTTTATTGGGGCAATCACTATTTTGTTAACGATTTATGGGGTCGATAAGCCCCTTTATAAATTGTTCCGATCGGATTACTTTAGCATATAGTAGATGATCATTTATATATATATATAATTATGGTATCTTACAAATTGACCGCAACCGGAAGTTAAAAAAATGTATATTAGGTATATCTGAGAACGTGGTAGTGTTGACCCTACTTTATCTATTATTGGCATTACTTATTATAAAATTAGCATTACATATTATAAACCGAAAAGTAAAAAGTCAGCTATAGGCACTGGAGTCCACATCTTCGGTATCTGGGAAGTTGAACAGTTATGGTCCAATTTTGATCATTGTTAGACCTGAGATGGCATACCTTAAAGGCACTATTTGGGTTATTCCGATATATTCATTGGTGCTTGATTCATATACTGGAAAGTGAAAGAACCATATAGAATTTAAAGTAGAGTTATATAAGAAGTAGGCGTTGTTTTTGTTCGATTTCGCCCATTTTTACACTGTCACCTAGGATTGTCAGGATAATGTCACCAACGAGTTTGGATGAAATTAGTTAAGTAGGTCCGGAGATAAGGGTTTTCACCTAAAGGTGAACGGTACCACGCCCCTCGTTCAATTCTGATATCGGCTTCAATAAAGACCTCTTTTACCATATTGGTTATAAAATTTTATGTCCCTGACACATTTCTTTATTAACTTACCACATTTTTAGTAGTTTTTAACAAAATCGAGGAGTGGGTGGGTTTATTATCAGATTTTACCTATTTTCACACTGTCGAATGTGGAAAAGTGTTTAATTATGGAGATATACACATTCGACTTATTAGGAGCTGGCACCACGCCCTCATTTTGCAAAAGTATAAAAATAATATCTGATATACACATACTGTCCTTAGTTCAATCTATTTTTGGGGTTGCCGTATTAATTGGAAAGTACAAAATAAAGAATGGGAATTAATGGAATATATAGGAAAAAAGTGGAAAGTTAAGCTTTCTTACTATAAAAACTTTTTGCAAATAATACATAAATTAAAAATAATTTTAAGTTACTAATATTTTTTAGATGTCAATGACTTAAAGTTTTAATTTCTTTTTGACAATCTATTAATTAATATCGAAGCGTTAAAGCTAATACCATAAGTTGTATAGAATTGCAGACCGTATTAAATTGACTTGAGAATCACCCCAAGAATATACATTCGTCTATACTTATGCAAACACTCTGAAAAAAATTTAAGCTTTCGTATCAAAAATCACTTTCACACATACTTAAAGTTTACCTTCAATTTCTGTACTTGATTTATAACTGAAGTATTATTACCCACTTAGATAAATCCTACTTTAAATCAAATTTCTATTTCTTTAATGGTTTTCATATTTTCATGTTTGGCCAACCTTAATTTGGCTCTCCCTTCCTCACCTCGCTTGCCCTTCAACTTATGTAAAAGTCTTGTTTACCTTCGTCCATAATTTCACCTTAAATTTCAACGTATTTGCCGAAGTTTATATATTTTTTGCCTTTAATATATTCGGCTCGAAGAAGTCGCCACTGGTCCATCATCTGTGCTTGTAATGGCCATTGGTTCTGTGTATTTTTGCCAATTTAAAATTTACTTAAGCTGCTTTGCCTTATTTGCATATAAGCGTTGCCACCCCTACAATTTTACCACACTTTCACTCACACCTGTAGCACCAGCGTCCCTACATTTTTAATTTGTAATTAATTTTCTGTTTAATTTTTTTTCCCTCATTCCACAAATATTTTCTTAACCTGCTTTGCAGCCTGCTTCGAGGAGAGCGAGAACCTGCCGTGCTTCCACACCGGTCAGGATGTGCTGGACAAATACAGTTTTAATGAGTCGAACCTTTACCGAAATTTGCTGGCGATTTTGGCTATTTACTTTGGCTTCCACATTTTGGGTTACTACTGCCTGTGGCGTCGCGCTAAGAAGATTTAATATTTAATGGAGCGTCAACCGCCGAAAGCTCCGTCGCTGCGTCGCTACGGGGCGAAGCTGAACGCAAGACTTGTTGATGTAGGCGCGTGGAATTTCACCCCTTCTATTTTATTGCTTAGCTATCACATACTTTCTACAATAATATTTTTATATTTACATTTTGCGCGTAAACTGTCTCCAATGTGCTTATTGTGCTTATTTAAATGAGATTTATGGCCATCCAAGGTGTGTATTATTTTCCTTTCGCACTTCTGGTTTGGTGATATAATTGTATTCACTTCTTGAAGTTCATGAAGAAGGTCAAACAAATTTGGAAATTATTATGATAAATAAACAAAACATGGAATTCACATTTAAATAACTTCGGATTTTATTATCTAAAACGAAGGTACTGAAAGAGCAAGGTATGGTATTATTGTACTATACTTAAACAACTTACGGGAAAGTTTCCAAAAAGCTATACCTAAAACTATTTCGGAGTTGAAAACAAAAAGTTATACTTTCTCCGACACTTGGTGACCTTACAAATTCAGAGGTCTATAAAACAAACTTCAACAAAATAAAATGAAAACCGTTTGCCTCTCCCAAAGCCATTGAGATCATTCTTGGCAATACAATTGTTAAGGACAATCTTTTGTGATGCGAGAACTGTTTGATTTTTAGTTTAGATAAAGCGTCTTGAACCCATCATCGATCTGCTTCGCGCTGATACACCTAAATAACTGAGGGTGTGACATTTAAGAATATCTGACATGGTCTTGCAAAGAAAAAAATGTTAAAATTATCCTACTTCGTCTCTCTCCAAGCCATTTCTGAAGCAGATTTTCGTTAGCATTTTTAGTCAGACCTCGATTTCATGATCAACAAGCTAAAGGCTAGTAGTGCTGTCCTATTATCGGAGTGGAGTCACTTCTCTGAAGAAGGTGCGCTACGGCTCTGCTTGCAAAACATTGAAATGACACGGATACCTAAACACCCAACAATATACTCCTCACCAACGTTGACCCAACCGTAAAACAGCTGACTGGCCCTCTCTTACGCCGGCTTCTTTCCACCAATACTTCTATCGAAAACATAAGAGTAGAGAAAAAACAAACAGAGTTAAGCTCGACGACGCTCCAAGTAATCCGGAATGAAGTCAAAGTGTGCAGCGATTCCGGAGCGTTTAAGCACAACATTATCTAGATGCTCAGCTTCTCTGAGACTGATAGTAACTTTTGCGGCACCAGACATGCTGATGAGAGCCGCACCCAAGCTCCTCAGCGTGTGTAACTCTATAGCAGACTGCTGAGACTATCGGTTAACATGTTCATCAATAGTGGTGCATCTGTATTTTTCTTCACTAATTAAATTAAACTAAATTTTTTTAAATATTTTAGTTTCTTTATTAATTTGTAAATATTTTTAATTTTTAATTAACAGTACATTTAATCTTAAATTTAAAATTTCTTCATTTATAATACAATAGTACTTAACAGTTAATAAACATTATTGCACAGACATTTATTTATATAATGATACAAATATAGATAACTTTTATATGAGTTTAAATATTTTCCTTGTATTCTGCACTTAAATTATATAATATAAACATATACACCAATATAACAGTATTATATACATACAGATAAGCTAACATACATATACTATTAATATTATTCTATGAAATATTAATTTATATGAAATATTTGTTTTTGCAAACTTTCATTTGTGTGTCTGCCATATTAATGAAAAATTATTGAAATTCCAAAAAAAATATCTAGAAATATTTTTTAATAATAAAAACAAAGTTATGGGATAAATAATTATTTTTTAAAAGCGCAAATCCGAAATTAATTGCTTTGAGAGTCCTCAACAAATTGTTTTGAAATTTAGATTATTAATTGCTAAGCATTTAAGCTATGCTAAATATCTGTCAGTCATTCGTGAGGAGATTTTTCGGAAAACTCGCTGGAATTGTATTTTATTTATTTGGTTCAGTCATACAAATGCATACCATATTCATACATACATATGTACAATATGTATCATGGAAAAAGCGTGAAATTCTCTAATACAGTTGAAAATCTCAGTGACCAAACATTTATTGACTGCACATACATACATATGGTATATACAAATACACATACGCACGTACATATGAATACAGATATGTTTGCCTCTCAACTCAGGCATTGTGTGGCCGCAATGTCATAGTGTCCGCTATTCATTTCAATTAGTTTATAAAACACTAATTAAATTCCATTAGCTGCTGGTCACACCTCATAGACATTTCAGCAATATCTAAGTCAGCAGACACTCGCTTTATTTATAAAAAAACGTCGCTTTAGCCATCGTAATTTCCAGTGATCGAATTTACATATCGTTTCAGGAAATCTGATACAGCCACCATATGTATCTTCCAGAAGAAAACTTTACAGTGTTTACTTCTGTGATTTTGTTAAAAAATTTACATAAGAATACATAAAGAATGGTCTCAATCGAAGAATTTCCTCATTGCAAACAGTACCATTCACGGGCCAAGACCTCTTGTTGCTGCTAGCACGGACAAATTGAAAGGTTTCTTTGTAAATTTGTCGGGATAAACAGCATCATTATGATGTGTATGTATTTGTATTTCGAGTTGTAGTTTTGAGCCCTACAGATTTCGTAACTGTTTCTGAACTGGTGCGAAACGGATGTGAAATAGAGCAGGGGCGCTCTCTGTATAATTATTTTTCTACGCGACTGAGTGGGTTGAATAGGTGAAACTTAGAAAAGCAGTAAAGTAAGAAAAATGTATTGTATAAGCATTGATAACTTGTCCGGTACTAAATAATACCAATTTTATTCAAATAATTTCAATGGCTTCTTTCAGCAGGTTAATAAAAAATCTAAAGAAAATTCACTTCATGTGTTTGCGCATAAATTTATTTTACTTAACATCGAGGCAATTTTTATTATACTCGTATTCTAGTAAATAAACGCATGTGCACATATGTATATGCTTTATTTATATATATATACTACTGGTACATAGATACAATCACAGTAAGACATTTGGTAATTTAGACATATTTTTTCTATTTTAGGTGCTTTTTTGTACATTAATGCTTCGATAGCGATTTGTTTTGTTGTTGGTGTATTTTACAACACTGATTACTAGTAATTACATTTACATACATTTATTTGCATAAATTATTTTAATAAACAACTTTTGTTTTTTCGGTTAAGACTTGAATTTGCATAATTCACAATTAATTTGATCAATCAAATCAATTTATGGTCTCGTAAATAAAATAGTCATTTTTAACCAACGCAAAGCTATAAGTGGCATAAATAATGAGTACAGTGTGCGACAGCCAAATAAAAGGTAAAAATATAAACACCAGGAACAAAGTGCTAAGGGTGTAAGAGAACTAATTGAGACAACGGCTTTATTAAGTTTTTATAAGTCATATACTATATTTTGTGTCAAATTGTGTGTTTTGACCAATATGAGTAATAGGTATAATATAAATTAGGTTTAAGCACATACTTCGTAATAAAAAATAAAATAAAATAATATCAAAACAGTTCCAAAAAGCCAACAAAACTCATTTTAAACTTTTCTTATATTTGCGAAATGAAAGAAAAAATTGTTGTTTGAAAAAAGTGTGACATTTATTATCTTGAAAGCTCAGGAACCCACTCACTTCATTATCTCAGAGTTAACTGAAATTCTTATTGCTAAGTTCGGTTTATACGTCATTTTTGGAATTGCGCGAAAAGTTCCGGGAAGAACTTCGACGACAAAGTGTACTTTTACACAAATGTAATGGGACCATCATGGTCTATATGCCTAAAATAAATATGTTAAAAGTATCTCTGCAAATAAAATAGTTTATGAGTTTATTACAAGTAGGACCATGATGTTGGTAAAAGTCGTAAGCAGAAGATTTCAAGCATATTTCGGATCTTGAATCTCTATTAAACAAACAGCCTTCTAAATAATCAATCAGCAATGCAACAATTCCACACAGAGATACACATACCTAATTGTATTTGTGAAGTATTTGTTTCATGTAACCTTTCATTTGACGCACAATGTAATCACTCGTTGAAGAATAGTTGCATAAAAGAATTTCTATTTTCACATTATAATAAATTGGGTGCAGGTATGTATGTGTATATTGATGTAAATAAATGCAATAACCGAGTATATAAAAATTGAATAATATGCATAACATATGTACTTGTATGTTTGTAAGTATATACAATAATTTGTAATTTATTTTGTACACATTTAATTTTACTAAATCTATTTGCACACACAACCGTGCATGTATGTATGTGTGTGCACTCTTTTACTATAAACTTAGATATGTTCTTATGTAAGTAGGTGTATTTATGTTTGTTTCTTGTGGAAATGAACGGTAAATGTTTCGTATACAGCCGCAAATTGACAGAGTTGCATTTTTTCAATATTATTATTTACTTAAATTTGCCTAAAAAGAGCTTAGCTGCCATAAATATTTTAAAGCTAGTTTTAAATAGTTAATGCTTATACTTATTTAACACACATACATACACGTAATTATAAGTATATAGTATAACTGTTTAAATACTTAATGAATGTGGATTTTAATTTAAAAAACTCACTTATTAATGCATTTTCAATTCACTTTTAATACAATTTGTATCCGAATGCTTATTAATACTTTTTGGAAACAATGATTTTCAATCATTCTAATAACAACAACAACAAACAATTAACTACTCAAGAATCACAAAACATTGACTAACTTAAATTAACAGATCTATACTTATAGATATTTATATATATATATATGTATCTGTCGTTTTATTGCAAAACTCTCTTTTTTAGAAATGAAAGCCTTTCATTGGCATCAAAGCATTAAAATACTGATATATGGGTTTCCTGCGTGCTATAATGATATTAACTGTATCAAAATCACAAAGATATAATATAATTGAAAAATTTTATTAATATTTGTTATTCAAGATATTACTTAATCAAAAAATAAATTTTGTTTGAATTCCATTACAATTTTGGATATTTTTTTTTTATATAGATTTATTCGATTATTTTATTGTTTAAAGCTTAAGTTTTAATGTTTTGCAAATTCAAAGTAGGTTTGAAACCATTTTGCTTATAAGTTATTATATATACATATGTAAGTATATAATATTTACAGTTAATTTGTTTTTAACTTTTAATGAAAATATAAGGTAATATTATTCGATAACAAAATTATAAACTTTTATGGGATATGTGAGTTATACATATTGTATATATTTACAAACACAGACACTGCCATTTTGCATAGAAACTGTTGTCAAATAAACAAATTTAGCTCTATATGTATATTTCGATTTGCTGTACCTATAACTTTGAGGAACCTCAACTACCCTCTTATTAACCATTAAGAAAGGTGCCTTGTGAATAAAGCGCATAAATCAGAATCACGTAATTTAATAATTTTTAGGACTCTCAAACCTTTAACTTTGCATAAAGTTAATAAACTAAGAATTGAAAGCCTACAGAGAAAAATATTGCCATAAAAACACAATTCTGGTCGATTCAACACCGGATCATTCAAAGCTCTGCGGCGCCGAACTACTTTCTGTACAAGAATAGAAGAAAGTATTAGATAAAGCAGTGTCTCTCATAACCTATTCTCTAATTTCTATATTTCTAATATGCAAAAAGACTATTGTTTACTTTTAGATCAGTAATAGCATTTTAACTTTGTATCGTTAAAGCGATTACAACAAATTGGGTGAATACCGATTAACAGCTTTCTTGTCACTAATAAAGACTAAGATCTCGTTTTAGTAACTAATGAGAATTTTTGTTTTTTGAAACCACCAAAATTTTAAAATTCCCGTTATTTTCTGAACAGACCTCGTACATTTGTAAAACGATGCATTAAATAAATAGTCGACGCACTCGTGACTTGGGTCACTTACCACTATGAGATTCATAGTATACTCAAGTCTTTAACAACTTCGTTGATTGTGACACAAACATAAACACCGAAAGCAAAACCGAGATCGAAAACCAATATATTATAGAATAACTTTCCACTATATAGGCAACTATTAAACAAATTTTGCTCTCGATAAATGAAGTCATCTCTTGATTTGGTGCCACCAAGTCTGGTGGTTTTGAATTAGACCAATCTGTGAATCACAGACGATTTCTTAAGTGATTATTTAGCTAACAAAAGGGGAAATATAAGGGAAACTCATAGTAAGTAAAGTAAACTAAGGTACAGTAACATCCAGTTCGCTTTTATGTACATACACAAATATAAATCTTTAACAATATATGGCGCATTTCAGAGTATTTCACCGTATTTCAGAGATCTCTAGTTAACTAACCACTAATGCAGAAGAACATTGACCTATCACTAAGTATGCATGTAAGTATATTTTACATCCTATTCAACTAATGTACCTGCACTTTTCCCTTTGCAATTTGATTACTTTGTTCATTATATATACACGATCGATAATTAGACTACTAACTTAAATAGCATTATACATACTGCATTCTTCTTATTTTACTTAACAGTATTTGAACCACTTCTCTGTACACTAGCTCAAGCAATAACATTGACAACAATTACATTTTAAATGCCAACTTTGGAAAATTTACAGCAAATAACAGTAAACTTACAACTTGGTCTATTATTTCTATCACTTCATCACCCTCCAGCTCGGTAGCATTATATCCGTGGCTTAAGTGCTCACGTCCTGCAGCATATAGGCGATCGTGCTGTCGGCGGCCGTGTTGCTGCTCTCACTGCTGGAACTGGCGCCGTCGCTGCTGCTGCTGCCACTGCTACTGAAGACGATCATACTCCGGCTGTTGGGCAGCACGAATACTTCGCTGCCGGTGAGACCGATGGGGCTCATCGACTGTGAACTCCTGATGGGGCTGCGATGTGTGTCGACGCGCTGACGACCCGACCAGTCTTGTGGACGCTGTTGCGGACCATTATGCAACGATTGCTTATTGTCCGTTGAGTGTTCGGCGCTTTTATGGGCGCTACCATTTGTCCACGGAGTATTATTGGAAGTGCCAGTTGCTTTTGTTATTGGCGTTGTCAAAACAGAAGTGATGCATTCGTCAAAACTACGCAGCCGCGTTGTCGTGGCGATCGTTGTAATCGAATTGCGTTGTCGGCCGGCAAGTGTTTCTGTACGGAATGTGACAACGGTTTCCTTTTTCAGTTGTTGTATTTTGGAGTCGCTGGGTCTGAGATTCAATTGTTGCTTATTGCTGAGGTCCGACAGACTTATATTGTTTTTCAATAGAATTTGTAGATTTTCAATGGAGTCCTTGAGCGGCGCCTTGTCGCTGTCATCTTTGTATTCTTCTTTAAGTTCGTCGACGTATGTGCGCGGCTGACTATTGCTCCGTCCATTCGTCGAGTTGGCGGACGTGGCGGTATTTAGGGAGCCGCCCCCCAAATTACCCTCCGTAGAGTTGTCCATGGACGAGGAAGCAGTCTTGGCAATTGCGGGCATTACGGCTATTGTGACCACACTGGAGCTGCTTGACATGGTGGGTGTGAGTGCTGACGTCGAGCTGGTTGTAGCGCCGAAGGAAGATGATATGTTGTGCTGACGACAGAGTGACTTGCGACGCTGCGCCGTGGCACTCTGCATGTAGGAGTTCAACTCCGAGTCGGGTGAAAGATCGTCGCCAGAGTCTGTGCTGGTCTTGTTGGACTGACTTTGTATAACGCTGAGCGGCTCAATCGTTTCGTTGGACTCCTGCACTGTGGGTGGCAGTTCCGGTTTCTTATCAACGAGCTCGGTGTTACTTGTTTCAGTTTTCTCTTGCTGTGGCGAGGTAATTGGTAGACTAGTTGTTGTGTCAATGAGTTTTTTGTTGTTTTCGACACTTTCAGCTTTGGTCTCACTCAGTGTCGTCACTGTATTGAAATTTCTCGTAGTGACTTCCGGTATTTGCGTCGACTTTCCTTTCAGAAAATATGTAATCATAGAGCCTTTACCCTTTACATTGACGCTGCCACGACAGGTGAGCTCAAAGCCACGTCCAACCAATATTTGATACATTTCTTGTGTCACCTGCATGAGAAGCGAGAGGGAGAGTGGCGAAATAATGTGAAATATGAAAGTGTGTAAATTGTGTAAATGTGTTGGAAAGTTGATTGGAAAAGCAGCAAAGCGCAACAAATCTTTTTTACATTAAGTCAACAACAATGATGGGAAAATGTGGGCAGTATTGCAATAAACAATGTCACTCATACATCCCTGGCCCTCTGATGAAATAAATAAATAAGTGGGAGTAAATGAGTTAGCCTCGCTGTGAGTAAATACAGCCGCGCGGGAAAACAATAAGTATGTCGCAGATGGTGCCAGAAAGCAAAAATGTCACGTAAATAACTAATATGACATGTTGACTGTATTGGATTGGTTTCGTCAGCACAAATTGAAACCGAAATGTAAAAGTCTTTATATGTCATAAATATGAAAGTATGTATATACGACAGGCGTGTGAGGATGGTTTACGAAGAGTAATTTAATGATTACTTTAGTTTATATGAAAAAGTGTTCAGCAGAATCATATCACATGATCAATTATGCGGCAGAACATCAAAATCGCTTTTCATAAGATTTTATGAGGAGATATTGTTAAAATTTTAACTCAAAACCCTTTGAATATTAAATGACCACAAATTAGTATTCTATAAACTTTGTTATGAAATTTTTTTGTAGAAAAAAAATTAAAATGGCAAATAAAGGCGCATAATTACATTGTTATTATATCAGATCAGATCATATCTGTAACGGTAAGTCTGATACCGGTAAGTAGTACCGAAGCAAATCTAGTACCGTTCGCAAATTCGATGAATGAAAAACAAGAAACAAAGAAAAAGAAGAGTGCTTTTGGTATTGAAATATAGGCTTCAGAGAAAAGATTTTGCGGGTAAGTAGTTCCGTAAACCCTTTTAACAAGTATATAGAAAATTTGACAGATCGTCTTATATTGCTCAAAGAAGTGAAATACCTATGAGCGCGTTGTAGCCATTACAAAGTTTTTTTTTCAACAATTTGAAACGAATACGAAGATATGCTTCACTTTGACGAGATATATTGTTGGCCTAATTATTTTTCCCAACAAAGCAGTTGAACTTACAGTACATATTTTCTCAAATATTTGTGGGTGTATATATGTACGGGAAATATTAAAGCTTATTTGTTGCCTTAACCAAGAAGTTCTTTGGATGCAGACCACAACAGAATTAATTTATGTGTGTGATTTGTGCTTTGCACTTAAATGGGAATACTTGTACCTTATATACGTTCATACATATATATATATAATGTTGGCAGCTGCAGATAGCCAATTGTATATTATATGATTCATCGTAGTAACTATTTGTTAAGTGTTTGTTTGCATATACGTGTAAGTATATTTCCTTCCTTTCAATTCATTCACTTGTATTGGATACATTTATTATTCACAATAGACAACCGACAAGGGCATTTTCTTTTGTATTATTTTACCTTATTATAAATATTTTATCTTGTTCTAACTATTCAATCCCGCTTTTAAACAAATTTTTGTATATTAATTTTCACGTTGGTGGTGATTAGCTTTCAGACGGAAGTATTTCTATTGTAGTAAAAGGAATCATCACGATATATGTCTTAATTTTCCTTGAAGGATAAGTACGAGTATGTATCAGAGAAATACTATTCAATTCATGTGACTTTTTAAATTCGCCGACGAGCTTTTCGGTGGTCGCTCCTTTGTGTTAATTACACGTAAGTGTATGGAGAAAAGGAAGAAAAAGAGATGTGTGTCAACAACGTTTGATCCCAAAGCGCTTAATATCGATCAAAATAACCGTCTACCATTAGTAGCTATGGAATGACGTAAAGCTGATTTGTTCAAAAGAGTTATAACTTACGATTTACGCAGCTATTAAGAACGTTATGTTAGCAAATGAGTGGCTGGATAGCCCTAAGCTAGTAACATATAAGTAAATTAGGATAAAATTCAGCAATTTTTGAGCAAGTATATGTTCCTGGTTTTACTTTAGACTATAATATCTTAATATTGATTTTGCGTGACCTTTATTATAAAAGGTGATTCAGTTTTAATAATACATTCCTTGTGAAATTTGATATTTTTTGGAAACATTTTTGGAAATCGTTACCTGTATATGATCTGGTAATCCAGTGGAATCCATGCGCGATGCCACATTAACAGCATTACCCCATATATCGTATTGTGGTTTACGAGCGCCAATAACACCGGCAACGACGGGACCGATATTGATACCTGTTGGAAATGAGAGCCAAAGATTTTCATATAAAAGTTCTGTTTATCAATGAGGCTCCTTCCATTTATAAATAATTTACACCATAATATTTTCTTTTAATAAATTTTATACTTTTTTGAATTTTATCGTAATTTATATTTTACAACTATTTAATTAATTTGGAACTCTTCTTACCAATTCGCAAGCGGAAATTATTGAATGAGTGCGTGTTAACCTCCTCGATTTTGTCGAATAACTGCAGCGCATACTCCGCCATAGCGGTAATATGAGCGAAATTCACTTGATCACAGGTGTTCGCCGTTAAACCAGAAGCAGCCATGTATGTTGCGCCCGTACTCTTGATTTTTTCAATATATCTGTATAGAAGGTACGATATGATAGAAAAATATTTTTTTTATTTAAAAAATACATAAAATAAGGTGAATAAATTGTAAAAACAATTATTTATTAATTTATTTAGGTATTTGTAAATAATTTGATATTTGATATTCATTTCGAGGATTAATCACAAAACTTGCGACGTACATGCAAACACCCACCTACTCAGGCCAGACTAAATTAAATTATTCTTAAAAAAATTCACGCACACATATAAATAACTTGATGGTTTATATGTAAGCGTGAATATAATTCTGTGCTTAAAACTCACCGAAAACGCTCCTCACTGAGCAGTTCATCGAAATCGGCGATAATCTCGTTGAGCAAACGTAAGCATTCCACGCCTTCATTGTTGCCCTCGAGCTCCACGTAGAACTCCGAAAAATTCGGAATTGAGGCAAATAGTATACACACACTATCGCACTGCTCGTGATAGAGATCCTGCGCGTCGATTGCGAGTGGGTGTGGCCAATAGTGACAGCCGGTGTCGACAATTGGTGCGATGGCAATGATGGTGGCATTGTGTATATGTATATGATGTGGCGGTGTTAACGGTCCATCAGTGCAGGCAACCGCACACAATACAGAATATGTTGAGCATAGCGGATGTAACCGTGCAGTTGTTGTGGATTATTCGGCATTTGTTGGCGTTAGTGGCGTTCATTGAGTGGCAGCCAAGTGTTGATTGTTGATTTAGTGGTCGCAGCGCCGGTGGTGTTGGTGGAGGCGAACATGGAAGTGTTGTAGCATCATCACACATACACACACATGCACAATGGTTGGCAATTGTTTGTTTGCCAGCGTAGGGGTAAAATGTAAATAAAATAATATTAATATTTATTGTGCTCAGCAACGGAGTGACAGTTATGCCTGAACAATTCGTATGTGTTTTGATTTTATACTTTTCTGCATATAGAAGTACTATATGTTTTATTTGTATGGCAATAAAATTACAACGACGCCAGGAAGATGCAATCGGTAACCTAATTTTGATTATTTGTTGGAGAACACCGGAAATAAAATGGAAATTAATGCAACCACGCAGTATGCCTTTTGCCAGTATTAAATTGAAAGACACTTTGTTTTGTTGGAAAACAAAAGGAAAAGGCTTGGAAATCCGTGCTTTCGTGTGTACCATTAATACTACCTACAATAAAGATTCATGAACATACTCTCTCCTTTATAATTTATTAATACATTGATTCATGGAGCCTTGTCTAAAAAGAATATTTGATGAAAGGACTTCTGATGTTAAATTTCTGAAAGCGCAGTAAGGTAGTAATGTCTCTATAACACTTGGAAAATTAGTTAATATTGAATTGTTATACTTAATTCGTAAAAGTATTGAATTTCCTAACCAAGATAGTACGGAATGACTTTATAGAATCTGTTATAAAAATTGGACAATGGGCGTGACACTATCTACTTTGAAATACTATACCACATGAACTACTACTAGCAATTTCAACAAAATTTTTTATCTAACATTATCCTGACATTTTTATTTTACAGTAAGAAAAGGGTTTTAAGTTCTATCTCTTTTACTTAACAGTATATAATACGAGCCAATGAAGATATCGCAAAAAACATTTGCACAAATAGTGCCTCTTACATAAAAATTGTTGAAATGAGACTCAAAACTTTCAGATATCAATATGGGAATCTCAGTGCGTATGTCTAACTATGGTGTATACCCAAAATATCTTTAAGACATTTTAATGAAACAACATATTTTCCTGATAATACTGTGCGCTTTGTCAACTTTGTTTACGGTAGGGCATTAATGACGTTAAATTTAGTTCCGAGGTGGACGACAGCGAGGTATTTCGAAACGTCTTTTTTATTGTGCTAGCTGAAGGGTATTTTAAAGTTTGGAGCAGAAGTATATAATTCCGTCAAACCATCTCAAAAATTAAAGCCAGTGTAACACTGTGTCTTTTAGCAAAAATATTTATATGCCTTAAGGCGGATTAATTTGATCTGAAGGATTTATAAAATATTTTTATTATCAACACTGAACTTAGAGATGGCTTGCTCAGCACTGCCACACAATTTTATCAAAAATGTCGCATCACCTTGTGTATTTCCTGTGACCTTTCTTCTATCTGCTAAAATTTATTGTCCCCAAAGAAACAATTTTAACATAAATGCATAGTTTTGGTTATGTAAAAATGGCATTGTGGTGATGGAAAAGGTAACATATATAAATATTTATATGTTGCAAGTACTTACGTCGATATTTTTGTCCCGACTCAAAAAATGTTCCGCCACATGCACAGGCAATATATTCTCCAGCAGCTTGCGATTGTACGCCTGCAAATGTTCCATGTCCTCTTTCTCCTCTAAATAGCATGAGGTTGCAACATCACAGGCGGGTGCAGGGTTTTCCGAAACGTCGACGAAGCATAAAAGAGAAATTTGAAGAAAAATATGAATGAAAATATTTTTGTGTAAATATGAGCGATGGCAAAAAGATCTTAAAAATAAATATAAACGAAGAAATGCTGAAATGCGCACCGCTGCACAATATTCACGCATTTGTACATTTCTTTGTACTTGTATGTATGTTTATATGTTTCAGTTTGCATGTTTGACGCTGTTGCTTGGCTGCATCAGCATTTAAATGTTGCGTCAAGTTGAGCAAATATATTCGCCGTTGTTGTTGTTTGGATCGCCCGAAGGATTCACTGCATTTCAATGTGGGGTACAAGCGAAGGTCGCACGACGCACAAGTATTGGTGAATTGGTGGCTGCATTGATGACATGAATGACGACGACGATGCTGCTGAAGAAATGGCTTACAGCTGTTGCCAACCATGGTTGGTTAGTTACTGTTAGACTGACTCTGTGGCTGACGGTTTGACTGGCTTACTGAGTTGACGGTGGGGTTGGCTGCGTGCATGCAAATTAAATAAGAGTTCTTGTGCTGCAGTTATGCAAAACGAACGTCATAAATAGTTGTCAGAGGGAATGCAATAATGTTGTCGCTGCGACAACTATGAGCGGTGCAACAATAATAAGCGTAACGCACGACAGCTCTTTGATGCGTGGCAGAAGTCGCAAATAATTTCGCGATTCGTTTTCTCATCCAGTGTTTTGCCATGACACTTTTATTTTCAGTGAAATCTTTATTTCTTCGTTTCTTTTTGGTTCGTTGTGACAGTTTGCGGAGCTGTTTTACTAGTTGCTGCTTTGTAGCATGGCGCCCGTAATTGAATTCCAATAAAAAGCGTGAAATAAAATCAACTGTAAACAACGCAGCTTAAACAACAAATGTGCTTCGAGAAAGCGGAGTACACCATGGCGTATACGCGACACCTAAATATTTAATACGATTTGTCTGTAGGTACTGAAAGTTTGTGTAAAATTCAATTGTCGCAACTTTCGCAGTGTTTGTGCTACAATGAAATCTTAATTAGTTAAATGTTGGCATTCTACGTGGCAGTTCAAAATGTTCCCAATGCTTAGAACAAAGTTTTTCGAGCGAGAAATCGCAGTGCCAGAGAGCTTTGATAAATATTTAAAGCAGTGATGTAGAATTTTATGGACAAACGAATATAAGTAAGAGCAATAAGAGTAAGTAGTCTTACTTGCAATAAACTTTAAAATCTGTTGGATTATTTATTTATATACAACGTTGTGTAGACTCAGTCAAAACATATAAAATCAAGGGAAAACGCTTTTCGCTTCTCTAAAATGTTACAATAGTATATGTATTGGAAATTAGTATTGCAGTTGTTTTTAATGTTTTAGAGCTTTCGATTAGCTTCTAGTTGAATATCCTGCGAATAAAAGGAAAAAGCTTCGCCTTACAGACTATTGACCTTTTATTGATGATTTTTAGTTGTATATGTATATATTTCATATTTCAAAATACTTCCAGCGCTTAACTTTTATAGTTTTACACTTGGTCAACCACACTTGCAAGCGTATACCTGATTTATATGCGCAACAACTTTTGGGAAGCGAAGTTTGCAATAACTGTAACATGGAATAGTAAATAGTCAATAACTTTACCACTAGAGTCAACTGTTGCAGCTATTAAAATAGTGTTGGAACTTTCGCTAAATAAACAGTACTTTAATAAGTTACGTGTACGCCTTGTTGTACTATGATATTAACTCAATTTACGTATGCGCCATGCTGCACTATTTTGTGATTTCACCGCTACAACAGAATTTCTTTAAAGTCATTGAACAAACTCTTCAAATAACAAACAACATTCATCAGTAATTTGAAGCAAAATTCCTCGCAAATAATTACTTCCATTTCGCTGTGTGTCTTCGCTTACTCACCAGTGGCTTGTAATTTCCAAATGAAATCAAGACGATAAGTGGCCTCTGTCTGGTGACTGTGAAAAATCAGCGCCAACATAAATGCAAACAGGAAAATGAAATCAATTATATAGCGCAGCAGAGCCTCTTCCATGCTGGTTAAAGACAACGTTTCGACATTGTCAAGTCGTGTGCCAAAGGCAATCCGTTCGTTCAATAAGAATCCAACAGAGTTGTTGGTGATAATTATGGGCATACGGACACGTGCCGTTTTGCGTTGCAGGCAAGATGTTAATTTTTAAGGAGATTACAGCGTTGATAAATAGTAGGATAGCAGATCGCAGGCGAGTGAAATAGTATATGAAGTACATGTGGAAAAGAAAACAGAAGACGGTCAATTATATTATTAAGTTGATTACATGATAAAGGTAATAAGTATTGTAAATGGTGTACGTTGTTAAGTGTAATTTTCTTGTAAAAACTTTTATATCAAAAATTTATTTTAAATATTTGAAATAAATTAATTCTGCGCAAAATTTGAATATATGTCTCTGTCAATTAAAATAAATAATTGAAATTGGTACTCACTCCAGCATGAAGAGCACATCCCTGCGCATATACAAATACAGCGAGAAGCCGGTGTAAAAGGCAGCAACAAGCAGTAACAACAACAACTTCAATACAATTCGCAACACCTGGTAAGTGGCGCAAGTCATCATCGAAAGCAACGTCAGCAGCAAGAAAGTCTGTCAAGTGCGCGTATACAAAAACAACAGAGTCAGAGAGAGGCGACAAAGAGAAAAAAGTTAAATATTAACATATCTCAAGTTGAGAATAGAGAGTAGACAGGAAGCGTCGTCTGAGTGGGGCTTAGGAAACTTATTGAACTACAAAGGGCAATCAATAAATAACGAGCAATAAGCTGCAACAACTTGTTATGGCAATTGACTGTCTTTGACGGACTTCATTGTGTTACAATTTAAACAAATACTTTCGATACACTAAATGGCAAAGTTAATAAGATTCTGAGAAATAATTTATATTTATTTTTTTAATCTTTACTATTTTTTTTTTTTTGATTTTAGTTTATACTTCTTTTGTTCTTTTTTATTTAAGAAATAGTAATTTTGCCCTCAGTAAGGCTAGTCACCTCCTAGTTGTGGGATTCTAACAAACCTCTGTCCTATCGGCATTCATGCTGTAAGCTTGGCAATCTTACCGAACGCTATCTGCAGAAGCTTTATATAAGAATAATGGAAACATATCAACATTTCCTTCTAGATCATTCCGCGTTATCAAGATTTAAACACTTGGAAGCTCATACTTTCAGACTTCCCGCCAAACTGGTGGGCGTAGAAATTAAACGCCTGCGCAAACTTGTATTGGCCACTAAGCGCTTTGTTGGCTTATAAGATCTGACACATAAGTTATATTTTTATGGCTTCACAAAGGACTGAATATTGTAGTCTAAGTGCGATCTCTGGATCAGCCATCTAACCTAACCTAACCAATTAAGCACAACTGTTATTTACTTACATTTATAGCTAAAAAATAATCACATTTAAAGTTGTCTATGCCGGGACTAGTTGCTCTCTCAAACGTTTCAAAATTAGTATCGAAAGCAATGACGTCAGCTGCTCTCATTGTAGAATTGCCTAGAAATATGGGTGTATTGGCTTGGATACTCATTGGTGAAATATCGAAATTAATATTGTAGAAGATTTCATATGCCTGTAAATGAAATGAGAAGAAATAAAAAGTTAGTATGTAAAGGACAATGGTAAGCCGTTTGGTGCAATGGTGAAATATATAAAACTTAGAAACAATAAATGTAATGTAATAGATTTAAATGGTCATATTGTACAAAAAAATGTTTTAAGTCTAGTTGATCTTCTGGGGAACATATAATATTTTAAAGCTTGTAAGAATTTTTGTTATCTTTGATGAGATTCCCAAATCCTCCAGCAGTCAATTCAAACCAAAATAAACCTTAAACCAAATTTTTCCTTTTGAAAAAATGTAATTCAACTCTGAGGTATTGATCACCACAAAACGTTTTATCAAATTAAAAAAAATAGACAATCTGATCGCAAATTTGATTCTAAGTCGCTGTGGACAACGACCTAAGACACTTTTAACTAGCCGTGTGTTTAGCAAAGTCGGAAAGTATAAACCCGAGCGCAATAACTGCAATGAACCTCACGCTAAGTGCAAACACAGTTTTTTATAAATCTTGAGCGGAAATTGTTTGGCCTTACCAAGAAAACATAAATGACAAGAGGAAAACGTCATAGTAATAAAAAACAAAAAGCTTTAACAACAACAGCAAAATAGAGGTTGACCTAGAGGCTGCAAGAGCAAACAAGTTGCCATAATAGAACTTTCATTAAAACTCCATAAAACGGCGATAACAACTATGTTGGCATACTCTTAAGCCATAGGGGTGTCATTGTTGTTGTAAACGAAAGCTATTATGGCTATATGTTTGTAGTAAAGATGGCAAAGTTTGCGTAATTTCTGTTAAAAGCACACAATAATGGGCTCCGCTGACAATTTGTACGTGGTGCGACAAGCAATCCCGTTAAATTACCAATTTGCGTATCGCACTATCGCTCTTCGCCACCCACTCTTGCTGACATTAGCGCCGCTATTAGTAGCTCTGTGTCGCAAATGAAAAAGCGCAAGTCTTTATGAAGGCACTTAACAGTTTTTAGTAGACTTTAAGAGTTAAGGAAGGTTAAAAATATTTTTAAAATAATGCTCGAGATGGAGTTTTAACATCAAAAAAAGTTCTCACTCGTAATTTCTTTACTTTTGGGAGTTTAATAAATACGACTAATGCAATGCAATGCATGTTTCTGTGTGAATTCTATTACAAAGAAAAATATATAGATATATATGCGTTTAAGTTAAGAATTAAATTAATTTTCTTTTTAGTTTAGCACTACTCATTACATATGTATGTCTTCGATATGATAAACCCACTTATTCGACATTTTGGTTCCGAGACAGAGAGCTTCCTTCATTTTCGATCGGCTGATTGAAATTCATAACAAAGGCAAATCTTCTAGTAGCATTAAAATTTTATAAGTAATTTTTTCAAAATATTACAAATATTATTGCATCATTATTATTATTATTAAATATATATATAGATCATATAAAAAACTATGATGTAGCGCAAAGATGTTTCAGCCGATAAAATGCAACAAGCAACGAAAAAGATTTATGTGAATTAACAAAAACATGTCTATATAAAAGTGGGTAATTTGCTTAAGGACTAAGACTAATACAAATGTCATACGAGTTGTAACAACAAACAACATCAAGTGTGTGCGTTAGCTTTGACATAAGTGTTCGTCCCTGCTTTTGACTCTTTCTTTTGATGTGCGATTAAGTGTACATTTCCTTGGAGGAAAGTCAGAGTACATTGTCATTATAACTTGAAGAATATTTTTTCTCAACATTTTATAACCAAGTAGTCCTTTTCATAAAGAGTACCACCAAAACATTATATAACATAAATATTCAAATATAGCATAGCTGAATCGCAAATGCCTTACTTAGTAGGCAAGTGAATAAGCACATTTAATTACATGAGTCATAGTTTCTACCTTTTGATTATATTTATATACATCCATGCGCATTTGTCTGTTTCACAGCTGTTGGTCAACAGCCCTGATGGATATTTTTGCTTGACTGTGATTAAGACACCAGCGTCTAAAGGTTAATGTGTGGTCTAACCATTTTGCCACAAAAATAAAAAGAACAAGTAAGGAAGAGCTAAGTTTGGGAGTAACCGAACATTTTATACACTTGCAACTTGCAAAGATTAATGCGGGGATAATACCTTCTGGTGTTAGGAAAGCTTTATATTAAAAAGTTTTGTAAAACAATGCAACATTCATTATTTGATGAAATTGTAAATGTATTAAAATCAAATTTGGCATTTTATTAAGTTTATTATAGGTCATATACTCACTTAGTTTTATTACTATAATTTACTTCCCGTCAGCTGAAATTGTATTAAAATCATTTTCAAATAAGATATATGGGATATAAACTCAACTGAAGAAGCTCAATTTAATAAAATGAGCTGATGTGAAAACATCAACCAGAGGATCGCTATTCATTATTTTTGGGTAATAGGGTTTGGAATTTTAAGAAAACTTGTTGATTTAATTTTATTAAAGTATCACATATTTTGTCGGAAATTATTATACAGGCTATTTTGGGGACAAAGAAAGAGATGGACTAATTGAGTTAATTTTGACATTGCTGATTTATTGAGATTATATTTTCCAACAATTTTTATAAATATATAACTCACACATTGAACGACATGTTTGGCATAAGGTTTGATACCTATAACGAAAATTAATATATGTAGTGGCCGGAAGTTTCAAAATCTGATGCTAGGTATATGAGAGATGGGGGTAGTATTGACCCGATTTTTATCTAAGTATTTTTGGTAATACAGCATACTATTAACAAAATTAAATGCTCTTCGAGTTTCGTTGAAGTACCTCACATACCGTCACCAACATAAATGGACTAAAATCAACCGGATGTTTGAAAATTCTGTGATTAGTTATATGGAGGTGCAAGTTTTCACCCGATTTTATTTTAGGCACAAAGATACAGTGTTATTAGGAAAATACGCTCTCTTGCTTTTATTGAGATAACACGCATATTGGCTGAGATAAGTGGGATAAAATCAACTGGAAGTTCGAAAATCTTTATATTAGGTATATGTGAGCTAAGGGAAATAATTAATCAAGTCATAAATTATAGGCACTGGGGTCCACATATTCGGTAGCTATGGGGTTGAATAGTTTTGGTTCAATTTGGACAATTTTTGATCATAAAGTGACACACTTTAGAGGGACTATTCGTGAAAGAATCAGATGGAATTTAAAATTTTGTTATATGGCAAGTAAGGGCTTCTGCTACGAAATCCTCCATTTTTGCTGTAACATGGGAATATTGTAAGAATGTTATGTAATGAATCCGAATTTCAGCTCGTCTCGTCATCTTCATCATTGATATTTATATAACCCTTTATCAATCTGGATTAGTTTTAGGTGATACAAACAACCGCTAGGAAAACAAAATTATTATACTCTGTAGCAACATGTTGCAAAAGTATAAAACAACAAATGGAAACTATAAACGAAAAATAGGAAAGCAGAAATGAAAAGACACCGTTAGTCATTTGTGTAACATCATTGTGCTTACAAATCAAGTGGAAAAGTGAGAAGAAAAGTTTGACAGCAATGTGTCTACCTCTCGAAGGTTTTTCCACAAATACTTTAGCACACTTTTGGGCGCGCACAAAGCTTTGCGAGTGTGTTGTGTAGATTTGCTAGAGTTATATAGGTATAAAGCCTAGGGCAAAGTGTCTGTTGCCGCGGTGAATGCTTAATAGAAAAACTTTTGCCGCTACATAAAATTTTAACACAGACTTTGTTGTACCTTTTTTTTTGTTTGTTTTCACTTTCTATATGTTTATTTACACAATATGATGACTAAACATACACACATCAAATATATATAGTATAGAATATTTAGTATATTTGTACTGTGTTTCTTTATATCACTTCTTAAACCCGGTGTATAAATATGTTTGTAAAGTAATATTACAGCTTTGACTTTATATTTATATATTTTTGTAACTACTAGGACAAGTAAAGGAACAAATAAATTTTAATTAACGGTAACCCTCTAACAATCAACTCTATCAGGTAGTTTTTATCATTTTCTGGAAAACTTACTAAAACAATTTTGCTAGAAAATTTCAATAAAGTCGTCGAAAGCACATATGCTGCATTGTGAAAATTTGTCAAAGTATATTTTTTAGAAGTGGAAAAGTTACTCTATGTACATAAACCAGTCAAAAGAAATTTTTCAATCGAGCTAATGAGCATTTTTCACATTAAAATTTTGTTATTATTTCCTTTTTAGGATTAAAAAAACCATGAAGTTTTGATTCATTGGAAAAAATGAAAGCATTTTGTTTGCACCGTTTTCCGAAAATATATTCTAAGCACAAAGCGGGTGTGATTCTCCCACATGAATTGAATAATTGGCGCGACCGAGCTCATATGCATGCTAAGGCTATACGCTTAAGGTGTATTAAACATCACTATACATAAATTTAAATATATGTGTATACACTTTAGACCAAAAGCTTCTTTCATACACACACACGCAACGGCCATCATCATCCGAACACAATCACACAAAATATTTGTATGCTTTGTATGATGCACAAATTATAGACATACATTTGTATGTGTGTAAAATTTGAGGTGTTACAAATTGATATATGCTCGTTCGAATTGAGATTCATTCATTTCAGAACTTTCGCATTTGTTTTGCAAAAATGCATAAATATGTGGCAAAGTAGTCGGCAGCACCGAACTTATATAATATATGTAGCACAGCTTACTGTTTTATCTTTCTATTTAAATAAATTTATACATACATTATTTATATACATACAAGTATAAATATATGTATACGAACGCACATTTTTTCACTTATTTGCTTAAGCACAGGCTCGTCTGCCATGTGCGGAAGACACGACTTAAGTCGGCTAAGAATTTTGCTTTCATTCACCGGTAAGCCTCCAACTTCAATTCTGCATGTATTACATATATAGAAGTAAGTCAACAATTTTTGGCACAAAAGCTTTCAATGTCTCAGCTTAAGAGTTTTCTTAGCTTTATTATTTACTTTTAAGATACGAGTAATATACATAGGTATTAAGATAGAATCAAACAGGAAATCTTGCATATAATAAATATATATGTACATACATAATTTGTATTAATATAAGAGAAAACACCAAATAGAGCTGCCCATTATGTGCCTTTATTATATAATATTTTAAGCTTTTTCTAGAATAATTTTTTTTAACTAAAAATCTGAGTAATCACGTATTTTTATTTCACTTAATGCTCTTATTGGCGCAACGGAAAAGCACTTCTTTATTTATTCCTTCCACAATATTACCAAACAACATTTCTCACCTATGTATGTTAATATAGGCATAACTAAATAATTTTTGGATCCGAAAATTTATTGAAATCTGGTATCAATTGTTTTTTTTCTATGAAGGGCAAGGCCGGGATATTTTGCGGGAATAATTTAGCCAAACTTTGCGACTGATTTTATTTCCCCCCTCAAATTACATGAAGTCCTTGTCTACCGCTCAACTTTATAATTATTCACGTCAAGGACTGGAGTAGATATAAAGGGATAACACAAAAGTGAATAGAGAAATTTAGTGAATATTAGCCACCGCTTAAAGACCAGCCTGCAAAATATATTAATTTTCATTAGTAAATAATATTTTAAACAAACTTGATCAACCTACATTTATTCTTGATACCTAAAAATTTAACTAAATATCTAACTGAAAGTACAATATTTTTGGAACTCAACGGTGCTAAAAGCGAACAAACATTTTTAACACCAACACATTTTTGAACAAACCAATATTTTTTGGGAAAAAAAACCTTAATTATTTTTACTGTTACACCTTTTCACTCTACCACGAAACATTATTCCAACACATATTCAATTGAAATCACTAACGAAAGGTAGTTCTTCTGTCATGAATTTCAGAAATTGTTTAAAACAAATATCAACAACAAAAATACCAAAAAGTAAGCTAAAAAATATTTACAACAATAAAAACATGCATGCTTAATCAAACATCCCATTGGGGAAAACATACACAGACCATAATCAATGCATATTTGCTACTCACCATTGTCAATATGGTAGTGAGGGCAATCAGCGTAACGGTTAAAAAAGCAAAACACTGCGCCAACAAGCGATCGCTATGAATACGTGAAGAGAATCTCTTGACACCAATCGGTAGCTGCAAGTAAACACAACAACTGAGAATTGTAACGGCTTCAACAATCGCACAATAATTTTTTATTTTTATATGTAAATGTGTGCGTTACATTGCTTTAGCATGTAACTGTACAAAGGCAGAACTAAGTTGCTGGTATCAAATTGAATAAAACGGTGTTTCCAATATAATTTGATTTGCGCACAAATGGTATGGACAAAACAACGGTCTTATGTATGATCGAATGTATGTGCACACAAATATTTATTTAAATGCAGAAGTGTGCTTTAATCTAACAACATCTGATATTGGAAGCGCACTCAGCAAGGTGCGACAGTCTGTATGTATATGAATGTGAATTTTTAATGCCACTTGGCTGCCATGGCGTATACGTACTTTCATATTGATAACATGCGAGGCGACGAGCAGCGAAACCAGCAGCACAACAACAATTGTTCCACACGAAGTGATGACTGTGAGTAAATTCCTGAAATGAAATATTTTTATATAAAAGTAATACCATCAATTTTGGTGTATTAAATATATAAATTTCTGACTTGCAAATATACTATATTATTATTTTTATTTAACTTCTCTAGTTAACTGCATTACTGGTGAATTATTCATATTAAATTAATTAATATGAACCAGAAAAGTTTGGGGAAAACGAATGTAAATATTTCTCTTGAAGTTATTTAGTTTAGCTCACAAGTTTCAACACATAAAAAACATAACTTCTTTGCCCGCGTCAAAACCCCAAGTCCCTCGAAAAGTTACACACGCGCTGAAAAACTGAGTTATCACTCGAAGAAGGGAACCAAATCCACATTCTTTATTAGCACAACAACAAGTACATTGGGTGACAGAACTGTAGCAATACCGAATTTTATTTGTTGCTATACACACAATCACTAAGCAATTGATTTCAGAAAATAGATTTTTCCTTATGCAAATAATATGATAGGATGTTTTAGAATAATTTCGATTTTTAAGCCACTCTGAAGTGTAAATTTTTTCACCAAAATCTACTTTCCTGAGAAGCCGCCATTTTATCCAGAATCAAAATTTTGACTAGTATTTTGTTCACTACCTATTAGGTTTTGGAAAAACTCTGGCACCCTCCATCACCGTTTAATGTATTTAAAATAAAATGTACGAATTAATTAATCACTTAAATTACTTTTAAAATATGGTAGCGAGTTATTCTTTATTTTAAAAATACCAAAACACCACTTGCGGTACACCACGAAGTACAAGTATATTGCAACTTACGGTTTGAATATGGAAAGTCTTATAAGTGTCGTCGCAACCAGCACAATGAAACTGCAGTAGAAATATACACCCAACATGCGATCTGGCTCCGAACCATACTGAAAATAAAAGCGACAATGAAAAAAACAAAATGATATCTCACACCTTAAATAAACATAATTTAATTTCATACATATTGTCTAGTCACAAGTGTTTTGTTGTTGTCAGTACACCGACTTACCTTCTTTTCCAGCGCTTCGTCCTTGAAGGACAACAACACCGACTGACAATGTTCCGCACGCAAATGGTCAATGCTACGCGCATCAATCGCACGCATCAGATACTCATTCACCTCGTCTTCCGGATCCTTGGCTCCCTCCGAGCTGTCGCCGAAGCCAAATCTGTAAATTTGTAGATTTTCACACATTCATTACTTGGAACAATTTCCGAATCGAACAAATGCGATTTCACAGAAAAATGGGCGAATAGCAAAGAAAGCAAAAAGGTAAGGGGAATAGGAAAGCTTACAAAGGGCGGTGTATAAAAATGAGCTGCTCGAATGCCAAATCATTCCTATTTCGTATCTAAATATAAGTATATGTATACGTGTGCGTGTACTCACTTGGATGTATTCTTCTGTGCGCTAGCATGTCCCATCATTCGCAGTTCCTTCGAAATATTGCCATTCACCTGCAGTCGGTTGCGTGATTTCTTATGCTGCACACACACATATGCACACCAACAAGCCAATATGAAAATAGAAAATTTTTATAATGTTTTTGTTATAAAATTATTGCGTTCGTGAGAGTGTGTGTCGCTCAGCTCGCCATGTGGCACAGGTGCTTCTCTATTTATATACATATATAATATATATTTGTATGTCTGTATGCGTGGATCTGTTATTGTGCTCGCAGCTTATTTCTTATTATATTTCCGTTGTCATTTTAGGCGTTTATTTCATTGCCTTTTGACGTTTTACATAACTCACCCCCCTCCCCCGCCCCCGCGCTTGCCACCCTGTGTGTCTGTGTGTTTGTGTGCGAACAGTCATGTGAAGTCATAACTTATTTAGCATATACGAGTATTCGGTTGCGCCACTGGAAACACGTACACTTGTGTGCGTGGACGGTCATGCGTGTGCAACACGTGCCTCGTGTCGAGGGGCGGTCGTGTTCACAACTTAGCAATCGTCAAATAACTACTTCTATATTTATTGGTACATTTGTGTGTATTTACACACACACACACACAACTACACTTACCGGTCGATAAATATCACCTGGCACTATGAGATAAGTTTCGATTTGATGATCCTTCAGATATGTGTTGCGCTCCGCACCTTTGCCCTCTTCCACTTCGTAATCGCCATCCAAGCACTTGAGCGTCTCCTTGGTGATGTGCACGCGTCTGTGTGTATGAGTGCCGAGATCGAGTGAAAGTGGAAAAGATGATATGGAAAGTTATGTTAATAAGAAAACTGCCACAAATGAAACAAATTGGATAAAGTCACAAATTTCTACTTGATAACGTACACAATTTTTACACAAAAGTGCATATATACCATATATACGAGTATACGAGTATATATGTAAAATAGGAATTTTACTTGACCTTCTTCACATTTGAGTTCGACCGACTATTACCAAATTATGCTCAACTATTTTAAATTCAAATATTAATATTTATATGTGATGTAATCCAACACATCAGAACAATTTTGCTTGCATATGCGCCAGGAATTGAGAAAAAAAGTTACGATAGATGGCGCTGATATTTAATGAGTTAATCTAGATAATTCTGAATAGTTATTTTAAAACTTTTGATACAAATTCGAAAACTAAAAAATTATCATATAACTGTACAAAATATTTGAATAATTATATAAATTTATGGCACAATCACATTCAACTCTATTCACTACTGGGGAAATAACTAGAAAAGTGCCGAAACTTTATATATTATGAGTTCTCTTCAGATGGTGAAAAGGTTTGGATTTTGAAAACACAATATATATTTCACAAGAAAGATTAATGCAAATCCTTTACTCACTACCTCAATGTGAGACTAACCGAAACTCAATCTTCTACCGTCTTATATGATCCCCTCCGTACTACCGAAAAGTTTTGTTCAGAAGACGGCTTGAGCATCAGGCGTACACTTTATCTTTTTGTATGAAATTTCAGGAACTCTTCTTAAGATCCTCGTCAGTATTTTAAGCACCCAACAACAATTAATTATGTACTTTTAATAGTAAGTAAGTTCTTGTTATACACTGAATTCAATTGATGTCTTATTCGAATATCTCCGACTTCTCTCCTGAAATTTTCAAAAACGTAAGAACATCAACATCTGTTTGTAAAACCCCAGCTGGTAGTCGTTTGGGATGTTTTTGGATACTTTAGAACTTTAATATCATATCAATATGCGTTCGCATATGCAAGCTTGGTTTATCAACACGACGTTGTAGACATTTCAATATACGATAGACTATGTCTTGAGAAATGATTAAGAAATGTTTTCAAAGTGCCTCCTGTTGTAGACCCTTTAGCCCAAAGCTAAAGATATTCTTATGCCTTTGAAAGACACAGTATGTGGACATCCGAAGTATAGCGGCAATAAGAGAACAATGTGGCAGGGTTAGGTATAAACAAGTAAAAAATTTCTAGTTGTTTTGAAGCACAAAAGCATTTTTCGTTAGAAAAACTGGCTATATAGGTGGCAACACTTCAAGCTGTTAAGCTGCAATTTTTTTAGCTGTGTACATTTGTGTTTTTATATTAAAAAATTCTCGAAGTTTAACTGATTTTTATTACCGTGTTAATACAAATTTTTAGTGATTAAACTCTCAGTTTCATGATAAGTATTTTATGTTCTGTTTTGTGCGGTATTAAAAAGTATTAAAAAGTTTAAACTTTCCAATTTTTGGTGTCGAGTCAGCCTTTCTTTCATTTTGTTTTATTTTATTCTATTTTCTCACTTTGTTTATTTTATTTACTTCTTTATTCACAGCTGTGTTGCGTTTAGTTTTTTATTTGTTACAGTGCTTCTAAAACTGCTCGCTATATTGCTTCTTCAAATTGTCTTGGTTTTAAACTTTGATAAAAAAAAAAAAATTGTTCTTAATTGAATTTATTATTATTAATATTTTATTAACACACTAATTTATTATTAATCTATTAAATTTTGTTCTACCTACTCTTTTATTTGATCTTCATTCTTGTGGTTTATTATGTCTTGTAACTTCCCCAATTGTAACATTAAAGGCGAGTCAGATCGCTACGTTTCATGCTGGCTTTGTGATGGGCTTGCCCATATTAAATGTGCTGGACTGACTGGTAGAATCTTAGATTCTATTATCGACTGTAAGGGATTGCGTTGGTCCTGTTTAAATTGTAGATCTATTGAAATCGATCTATTTAAAGTTTATAGGGAGACACGCAATGGCTTTAACAAAATCGGTCGTGATCTTGTAACCCTCACTGAAAAATTTAGGCACTATGAAAAATTGTTCAAATCTTTTAAGTGCCTGAATGATTCACGCGAATCCTCTAAACCTGCTCCTAAGCGTAAACGTCCTTCCGATGAAGTAACACTTAGTTCTTCTGTTCAGAAAAGAACGTCTCCTCCCAATGACCTAATAAATCTCTCTTCTCCTTGCCCTCAAGGTGATAAGCCGTCAACTTCCAAAGAGCTCAATTCCCCAAAAGCTCTATCTAATAGTAATAAGTGTCTCACAATTCCAGAGGCTCCCCCTATTAACTTAGTAGCATCAGTTAATAACTTGATAGTTATTCCACCTAAAAAGTCTATATTTATTTCGAGACTTGCCAAAGATACCTTGGTGGAGGACATTAAATCTTACATTTCGTCACGTTTAAAAATCGATGATATCAATATCCGTAAATTTAACTTCAATTATGATAGAAGTATATCATCGTTTAAAATAGACGTATCTCTTGAAACATTCAAAAAGATCTTAGATAGTTCATTCTGGCCACCTGGGACTTTTGTACGCGAATTTAAACCTAAACTTAGAAGTCAAACTGAGGAAAACAGTGTTAAATTACCAAAAGCAACCACCGATATAAAAAACTGATTGGTAGAAATTCGCTAAGCATTTATTATCAAAATGTTAGAGGTCTTAATACAAAATTAACTGACTTGTATTTGAACAGTTCCAATTTTAATTTCCATATAATTGGATTTACAGAAACTTGGTTAAAACCTCACATTTTTGATAATGAGATTTTAAACAGCGAATTTCAAATTTTTAGATGTGATCGACTGAACAGAATCGGTGGAGGTGTTCTATTTGCCGTGCATTCCTCTATCCCATCTGAAAATATTCTTGTTCCAGGGACCGACTCATTTGAATTTAAATGTGTTAGAGTATACGTTAATAGTTGCTTTATTTATTTAACCCTATCTTATATACCACCCCATTCCGACTTATCTGTATACATGCAGCATGCTTCTTTAATAAATAGTGCTACCTCGATGGCAAATAATGCAGATTCAATAATTGTATTAGGTGATTTCAATTTACCGTGTGCTTTGTGGAAACCATTCGATGACTATATCGTGCCGATTTGCAATCGGTCATGTTTTAATGAGTTTTTCGAAAAAATGTCCGAGTTGGGTCTGAACCAAATTAATTTGATTCCGAATAAATTTGGTAAATGCTTAGATTTAGTATACGTTGATACCTCTGCAAAGTGTTCCGTTATTCAGAGTAATCCTCTTGTTCTACCAGAGGACTCATATCATCCTGCTTTGGAAATATCTGTCGAAATCTCAGGCATTGTACGGGATAATAATCATCAAACTTCGTGCTTCTGTACTCGGTTTAACTTTGCAAAAGCTAATTTAAAAAAATTAAATATAGAACTTTCTACAATAACATGGCCTAATTATAATGGTGACACTGAATTGAGTGTCTCTCATTTTAATAATATTATTATGAAATTATTTGAAAAGTATGTTCCAATAGTTATTGTTAACAAAAACAAAAGTATAAGTCCGTGGTTTTCGAAAGAGTTATATAAATTGAAAAACAGAAAAACTCGAGCCTTTAAACATTTTAAAAAAACCGGTTCACTTGTCGACTATTCTAAATATTCGCTATTGCGTCGACAATATTTTGACCTAAACAAAAAATGTTATAATAATTACTTAAATAAAGTTAAAAAAAATATTGTAAGTAATCCAAAATCGTTTTATGATTTCGTCAACTCCAAACGCAGGATTTCCAAATTTCCGTCCGCAATGAAATACAAATCTATCATTTCAAGTGACAATGATATTATATCCAATATGTTTGCAGAATTTTTCAAGTCAAACTACTGTAATAATTCTTCCAAAACTTTTTCTTATCAGCAAGTGCTGTGTTCGAATACTTTAATTAACGCCCCAGTTATTTCAGAAGAAGACGTCCTTTTTAATTTAAATAAGTTAAAACCATCTTTTAGTTATGGCCCAGACATGATACCCTCATGCTTCCTAAAAAATAGTGCCAAATATATTTACTTGCCTTTGACAAGGATATTTAATTCCTCTCTTAAACACGGTATATTTCCTTCAATATGGAAACAGTCATTTATAATCCCTTTGCATAAAAGTGGATTTAGATCGAACATTGAAAACTATAGAGGTATCGCAAAACTATCAGTTATACCTAAACTTTTTGAAGCTATCATCACTGACCATATAACCTTTTCGATTTCTCCGTTAATTTCCCCATCTCAGCACGGATTTCGTAAAGGGAACTCGACTATATCAAACTTACTTGAATTTGTAAACCATGTATCATTGGGTTTTAGGGAACATAAGCATACGGATGTTATATACACAGACTTTAGCAAAGCTTTCGATAAAGTAAATATCTCGATTCTCATACATAAACTTGATCTTCTGGGCTTTCAGCCAAGATTCCTTCAATGGGTATCTTCCTATCTTTATAATAGAACACAACGAGTGATATTTGAGGATACACCTTCAGATACAATTAATGTTTCTTCAGGTGTTCCGCAAGGTAGTCATCTTGGCCCGATTCTGTTCTTGTTGTTTATTAACGATATCTCTTCAGTAATAAAATTCTCAAAAATTTTATTATACGCTGACGATGTAAAGCTTTTTAAATCATACACTTCAACTGAGGAAAGGTGTCTGTTGCAAACAGACTTAAACAATTTGGTTGCATGGTGTGATAGAAATGATTTGCCATTGAATCTCAATAAATGTAAGACGATGTGCTTTTCCCGTAGATCTGTGCACCCCTCTTCTTACGTAATAAAACACCATATTCTAGAGCAAGTTTTAAACTATGTTGATTTGGGAGTTAATATGGACCCTAAGCTTAATTTCAGTCTTCATATTGATACCATGGTCTTGAAAGCAAAAGCTGTCCT